TGCTGGCGTGTGCCGACGGCCACGGGCGGCCCGAGTTCTGGCGTCTCTCCGTGGAGGGCGGGTCCAGCCTGTTCCTGCACGCTGAGAGGACCAGCGTGGGCGGCGAGCCTTTGGGCGACACGGATGCGCAGTGCTCCAGGGTCGAGCGGTCCGTGGAGAAGCTGGGTGCAGTGTTCCTCGGCGACGGGCTCGCAGACGCGGTCGTCGAAATTGCTAATTAAGCTGGCGGCCAGCCAGCGGCCCGCCGTTGGTTGTGCTCTTGCATGGCCCCAGCGGGGCCGGCAAGACGCACTTCGCCACGCGGCTGCAGCGAGCGATCCGGGAGGCGTTGCTGGCAGAAGCGAGCCAGCTGCACGCGCCCTATCTGGAGCTGAACTGCGCAGACGCTTCGGAGGACCTGTCGGCAGCCTGCGGGCTTGGGGCCACGGGGTGTCGCGAGGAGCTGGCGCAGGGCCAGCTGTTGTCGCCCAGCGTCTAGCACGGCGCCTGCCGTGGCGTCCCGTGGCAGACGCGGCGGCGCTGCAGGAGTTGCTACACGTCGCCGAGGGGCGCCGCGCCACGCGCGAAGGGGCGCTGGGCACGCAGTCGTCGCGCTCGCGCGCCGTCTGCGAGCTCGCTGTGCCGGGCGCTCGTCGTGCACTGGTAGCTCGGGGGGTGCTAAAGGCGTCTTTGGCCCAAGGTGCCGCCACGATTTCCAAGGAGACCCCACAGCTTCCAGAGCGCCCCTCACGAGTCCCAGGTGGCCCCATGGGCTCCAGAATGGAGCGAGGATGCGCGCGGGATGGGGGGGTGCCGCACCGAAATAAAAAAGTCGGGGCGGAGGGGGCGCGGAGGGGGCGCGCGGAATGGGGGGGGCGTGCCGAGATAAAAGAGCCAGGGCGGAGGGGGCGCGCTGGCTGGGGGGATGCGGAGGGGGCGCGCGGGAAGGGGGGCGTGCCGTGCCGAAATAAAAGCGTCGGGGCGGAGGGGCGCGCTGGCTGGCGGGCGGGGGGGCGCGGGCTGGCGGCCGGGGAGCGGGGGGGCGCGCGGGGTGGGAGGGGGGGGCCGTGCCGAAACAAAGAAGTCGGGGCGGAGGGGGCGCGCTGGCTCCCTGCGCAAGAGCGTAATGATGTGTGCGCTCCCCCTCTCCCCAGGTGGGTGGCGTTCAAGCGCGCCTGCGACGCCGCCAAGGACCCGCGGGCGGGGAGCACGCGCGCCGGCCGCGCACACGTGCGCCGACTTAAGTCAGAGGCGGCGATAGGGACGAGCAGCCCAGGGGAGAGCAATGCATGTAATGGAGGATGACGATTAATAAATGACCGGGGGTCGTGTTCACGCGGCGGCGCCCGGGATGACGATTAGAAAAAACCGGCCGCGGGCTGGAAAGCTATGTTTTTAATCGTTCTCCTCCAGTCAGAGAGTTGTGCAGAAATAGCAGGAAACTATGTTTTAATCGTTGTCTCCCAGTTTTCTATTAATCGTCATCCCGCAGTATTCATGTGCGCCGATGATCCATGTCTTCGATAAGGCTCCCGGGCGGGTACGTGTAATGCCCGCCCCTGGGCTGTTCGCCCCTATCGTCGCCGCCGATTTGGGCTTGCTGGGCGCACTGGTCGGGGCGTCTGTGTGATCGTGTTTGTTCTCTCCACGGGGGTGACGCTCGCTGCCTGGGCCGAGCCCCCCCACACCCCCGCACCCGGGCAACGCTAACGATGGTACTTGTCGGCGGCGGGCGCGGGGGGGAAATGAGAAGGGGCGGGACTTCCGAGGCTTCTGAGAAGTTTCTGGACTTCTTGGAGGGCTTCTGAGAAGTTCTGTCTGTGTTCCAAATAGGCCGAGGAAACGCCTCAGAAGCCCCCCGGACTTCTGAGAAGTCCCGCGGCCTTCTGAGAAGGCCTTCTCCTTCTCATCTCCCCCCTGGGCTCGTCGCCTAACTTGGGGGGGGGGGGGGCCTGGACCCCACCCCGAAGTTTGTGGCGCACGCAGGCAGCTGATGCGCCAGTGGCGCGGGCGCGCCCCGGCCCGTGCCCTCCCCAGCCGCCGTTGCTTCTGCCCTCCCACCCGAACCCCCATGCTCTGGACGCCCGAAATGGGTACTGAAAGAATGGGTACTATGCCCAACAGCGGATCTGGTTCATTTTGAACTAGATCCGCTGTCCACGCCGCCGCGGCTTGTGTCCATTCGAGACAGGAGGCCGCCCGCCCAACAGCGGCCGCTGTTGGCTTGGGACAACATTTGTTGTTGGGCATCGTGCCCATTTTTTCGGTACCCATGTCGGGCGTCCAAACATGCCTCCCCCGGGTAACGACCGTTACACAGGAAAGAAAAAAAACGATCATCGTGGAACATAGTACCGCCGACGATTCCTTCTCCCCATCGTCCCCGGAGGAGCCACCATCGCCCCTGTCGGAGGCCGCGAAGGAGTCCAACATGACCTCCCTCAGGACGTTGGCCCCCCGGGTGCTTCCCGAGATGTTCAAGGCGTACGTCAAGGCCGAAGATGGAGGTTGAGGAGGCTGAATTACATGATAATGGGGAGTGAAGGCGGGGGGAGGGAGGAGGAGGGAGGAGGAAGAGGAGGAGGAGGAAGTGAGGTGGAGGGTGGTGGCATCAGGCGGGAAAGGGTGCAAAGAAAGAGGGAGAAGGCGCACGATTGACGAGTTAGGAATGATTGCAAGCGTCTGCGCAAGATGCGCAGGAGGTTGGGCAGTAGCGGCTGAGGAGAAATCCTTGTTATTTGTTTCAAGTTTGAGGCATGGTGTGACGATGTCAGGGGTCACGAAAGAAGATAAAGAAGCGATGAATAGAAGTATAATGGCGCCGATGGTGACGAGGATAGAAGATTGGCACGGTGGCATTGATAGTCACGATGATGTTGAGGGTGACCCACGTGATGATATCGGCGACGGCGGCACAGAGGGCGCATGGCGGTGGCAAAGGCGCAACGACAGCCATGATTGTGTGCTGTCCTGCAGTAAACGGCGATGACAATGATAAGCGAGTGTGAGACCTTAGAACACGTATTTCCAGCAGTTCTCATCAAGCGTCTGATGCGATAATGTTGGAGTCTTTGCGTTACGACATTTCGATGCGTTCCTTGGGCTCTCATTCGCTCACGAAGTAGAGTGGGCGCATACACTGGCAGTTGTTGTTGCTGGTGTCGTGACTTCTGTATGGCACGCAAGCCAACGGGAATGTATTGCGTGGTCGCGGGCGCCTCGATGAACACCACATGCTGGCCAGTGGCGACGGAAAGTGCGCATCCAATTACTGGTGACGTTGTGACAAGCATTGTCTTGCAATGGATCGCTGTAATGGGGCGTGAGATCGGTCGAACATCATCCCCGCAAAAGAGCTCCCCGCGAGGCCACCCGATCCCGTCGCACGGTGCATGTTGGATCCATTCCGCGCGTGCTTGCTCGAGGGTAGTGCAGTGTCCCATCCTCCCCCATCCCCCTGCTCTCCCACCCCTCCCCCCCTGCTAGTATCAGGGGGGACAGAAACACACAGACACAATTAATCGGCGATTCCCCGAAACTATGGGAAAATATCGGAATTGGGCGGGAAGACAAGAACCCAGAAAATATAGGAAAATATCGGGAATCCTTGGATTTGTGTGTATTTATGTGTGTGTCCCAGGGCCACTTCATATGTGTGTAAGTTCGCCCATCGGAGATGCGCACACGAAACAAACAACATGTGCACGGCACTGCACGGCACGGCACTGCACACGGCACGGCCCCACAGCATCAGTTGGAACCAGGTCGCGGTCACGTTTGGGCCACCATAGCACCACAGTTTGCGAACGACCGACGAAGGGTTCTCAGGAGGATAAGAAACGCACAGACACAATCAATCCTCGACTCCCAGGAAAATATGGGAAAATATGGGAAGTGGGGGGGAAGACGAAAACCCAGAAAATATGGGAAAATATGGGGAATACTTTTAGTTGTGTGTATTTATTTGTGTGTCCCAGGGCCCCTTCAAGCACCATAGTTTGCGAACGACCGACGAAGGGTTCGGCATGTTATGTCTAGGTTACGCTCTAGGTGGCGCATGCGCGATTCACGATTCGCGGGGTGGTCCGCTCTGTCTACTGCGCGACGGTTTGCGCAAACCCGGCAGGGTCTTTGTTCGGAACGCTCCGCCCAGGTTGTGCCGTAGTGTGCGCGCGCCCGACAGACGGTCTAGTCCCATCCGTCCATGTTTCTCCCGCCCTCCGGATCACAGTTTGGTCCGCTCCATCTAGGCTATGCCGTTGGTGGTAGGCAGGTTGGCGCACGCCCAGCCGAATCACGGCCTCGTCCGCTCTGTCATCCTTTTTGCCTGAAGGCCTTCGCCCTCTGCCGCCGGCCCCCCTTTGATTGCCTGCACGACGGGTTCGATTGGGTGTGTTGGGTGATTGGATGATTGGCTGGCAGGCCGGCAACTCGGCTTCCTTGCTGGCTGTCTGTCTAGATGGATGGCTGGCAGGCTGGCTGGCTAGTGGTTTGGCTGAAGGTCTGGTTCGCAGGCCTCTTGTCAGGAGAGGAAAAAACACACAGACACAATTAATCGTCGATTCCCAGGAAAATCTGGGAAAATATGGGAAGCATTGGGGAAGACAAAAATCCCCGAAAATATAGGAAAAATATGCATATGTTTATTTGTGTGTATTTATTTGTGTGTCCTTGGGCCCCTTGATGAAGGTCTGGTTCGCAGGCCTCTTGGCTGGTTGGAGAGATGGCTGGATGGCTCGGCGGGCTCGGAGAGCGGATCCGCAGTGGAGCGAGGCTACGCTGCCTCTGACGACGGAGCGTGGCCTCGGGTGCTCGGCTCCACGGTTCCCAACCATCATGTGGAATCGGGTCTTCGTTCTGACGAGCCAGTGCCCAGCGTCCTCCTCCTCTCCCTCCTCCTACCTCTTCCCTCCTCCCACACCTGCCCCTGCCTCCGCATGCCGACTCGGTTAAACCCTGAAGTTTCGTGGCCCCACAGGGAGCTCCACCGAAGGCCCAAGCGGCAGCGTCCGCATGGCGCACCCGCGACCAATTCGGCAGACCCTTGCACACGCTTCGTGGTCCCATAGGGAGCTCCACCGAAGGCCCCAGCGGCAGCGTCCACATCCAATTCGGCAGACCCCTTATTCGTTTCGTTGCCTCATATGGAACTCAACCGACGGCCCCAGCGGCAGCGTCCGCATGGCGCACCAGCACCCAATTCGGCAGACCCTTCACACGCTTCGTGGTCCCATAGGGAGCTCCACCGAAGGCCCCAGCGGCAGCGTCCGCATGGCGCACCCGCACCCAATTCGGGACTCCTCACACGCGTCGTGGTCCCATAGGGAGCTCCACCGAAGGCCCCAGCTGCAGCGTCCACATCCAATTCGGCAGACCCCTTTTCGTTTCGTTGCCTCATATGGACCTCAACCGACGGCCCCAGCGGCAGCGCCCATGGCGCACCCGCACCCAGTGTTCGGCAGACCCCTCACACGTTTTCGTTGCCCCTCAAGGAGCTCCACCGCAGGCCCAGCGGCAACGTCCGCATGGCGCACCTGCAATCAATTCGGCATACCTCTCACGCTTCGTGGCCCCAACAAGGAGCTCCACCGAAGGCCCCAGCGGCAGCGTCCGCATGGCGTACCCGCGACCAGTCCGGCAGACCCCTCACGCGCTTCGTGGCCCCAGAGGGAGCTCCACCGAAGGCCCCAGCGGCAGCGTCCGCATGGCGCACCCGCATTCAATTCGGCACACCTTGCACACGCTTCGTTGCCCCATAGGGACCTCCACCGAAGGACCCAGTGGCAGTTTTCACATGCGCCTCCCCCGCCCATTACGGCGCACCCCTCACACGCGTCGTGTCCCCATAGGGATTTCCGCCGAAGACGATGCTCACAAAGGCATCACCCACAACTGCATGTTTGCGGGATCGTCGCTAGGATATGGTTCTCCCAACTATCATGTTGTGCTGGGCCCTCGTGTTGAAACCTCAGCGCCCCGCGTTCTCCTGCTCGTCCTCCTCCTCCCCCTCCTCCTCCCCCTTCTCCCATCCCTGTTGTCCTCCTCATCGTCATCGTCATCGTGGTTATCATCCTCGCACGCTTCGTGGCCCAGAGCTCCGCCGCAGGCCCTAGTAGCAGCGCGCGCATGGAGGCGACGCCTCATTTCGGCACACCCCTCGCAGGCGTCGTGGTCCCACGGGGGACTCCACCGACGGCCGGCAGCGCCCACGTGGCGGCACCACATAGGGGACTCCACCGAAGGCCATAGTGGCAGCGCCCGCGTGGCGGCGCCCTCCCATTTCGGCTCACCCCTCATACGCGTCCTGGCCCCACAGGGGATTCCACCGAAGGCCACAGTGGCAGCGCCCGCGTGGCGGCGCCTCCTCACTTCGCCCCCCGCCCACACGTTACGTGGCCCCAGAGGGAGCTTCACCGAGGGCCACAGTGGCAGCACCCGCATAGTGGCGCCGCATCCTCATGTCGGCACGCCACTCACACGCTTGGTGGCCTAATCCACTGAAAGCCGTAGTGGCAGCGCCCGCATTGTTGCGCCCGCCTCATTTCGACACACCTCATCGCACCGTTCGTGGCCCCATAGTCAAGGGCTCAACAAACGCCCCTACCCTGGTTAATGAGGCGCTGTGCGCTGAACCTCCTGAGAGCTGACAGGATAAACCCTGCGCTCCGCGCGTGTCGCGCGGCTTACTGGCGGCTCTCTGGTTTCCGGGAGCTCGCAGGAGGTTTACAGACCACGGATTTGTAACTCAGGGTAGGGGCGTTTCTTGATCCCTCAACATAGGGCGCTCCACCGAAGGCTCGGCTGATCCGCTTCATGTCGGTCACGTTACACGTTCCGTGGCCCCGCGGGGGACTCCACCGAAGGCCATAATGGCAGCGCATGCATGCCAGTGCCGCCTCATTTCGGCACACCCCGCCACATTTCGTGGCCCCAAAGGACGCTCCACCGAAGGCCCAAAATGGCAGCGCCCGCATTGCGGTGCCGCCTCATTGAGGCACACTCTCATACGTTTCGTTGCCCCGTAGGAGGCTCCACCGAAGGCCCCAGTGGCAGCGCCCTTTTGGCGGCCGCCACGCCAGGATATGCGCCCAAACATGTCCGTTTGATCGCCCCCCTCTTTCGTTTCGCTGGTCTCGCGGCATTCGCAGCTGCACATGGTTTGGTCCTCCGCCTGGAGAAGTTGAAGAGGGATTGTGACTTCGGCAGCGCGGATCCATTGTCATAAGAGGAGTCGTGGCTTCAGGAGCGCGGGTCAGATTTCAAAGCAATGGGTTGGGGCTTCTGGAGCGCGGACCCACCGTGGTTTCCCCGACGACCTTGCGGTGTTAGGTCCTCCGTTTGAGCCCGCAGCGCCCTGCGTCACTCGCTCCTTCCTCCTCCCGCTCCTTCCACTCCCGTCCTTGCCTCTACCCTCCCTCGAGTCGCCCTTCACACGTTTCGCGGCCCCATCGGGAACCCCACCGAAAGCCCTGGCGGCAGGGTCCGCATGGCAGCGCCGCGCCCATTTCGGCACACCCTTGACCTTGGCATCGCTCGGACGTGTGCGTTTTTCCTTCGGCAAGGACCATCGAGGAGCATCCCTGATCATTTGGCGAAAAAACCACGCACGAAACCGAAAAAAGCACAGGAAATGGACGTCCGAGCGATGGCGAGTGACACGTTCCGTGCCCCCACAGGAGGCTGGGATCGGATCGGCCGGCCTCGGAAGTTGCCCGTCGCGCGAGCAGCTGCGGGGGGGGTGCGGCATCGATGGGCACCACGGCCCAAGACGCCCGCGACAGTCGGGGCCCTGAAGAAGGAACCCTTTTCGTTGGGGAAGGGCTCCGCGTTCCTTAAGCGTTTCACAGCTTGCCTCAGGCTTTCCTTATGTCTTCGACAGGAAATCGAAGGTTAACTCATGGGAAAAAGGGGCCTCGTTCCTCATTTGGGGTTCCCTAGGTCAGCGCCCCGACTGCATATGGGCTCATGTTTCTCCAGGACCTGAATATGGGGAGGCAGAAGCAACAAGCAGGAGCGAGCGTGTAGAACCCTACTGACTCATTGAACCTCCCGCCCACCACCCCCACACTTCTCGATGCCAGCTGTGTCGCAACTGGTTTGGCTGGAGTCATCGTGCTCTGCCAGGAAAAAACAAAACAAAAACAAAAACAAAAACAAAAACAAAAACTTCTCGATGCCGTCGCAGACGGCATAGTCTGGCAGGCCGCGGATGGCGGCCGCGGTCCGCCCACGGCGGCCGGCGGGCGCGGGGGGAACAGATGAGGAGAGGCACAGGGAGGCGATGGGAGACAGGAAGGACAAGCACCTCGTCGCCAGTAGCCTCTCAAACGCCGCACAGAGACGGCATACTATGGACGAAGGTCTTCCATCCCATAGGAGGAGGGAGAAGGAGGAGGAGGAGGAGGAGGAGGAGGAGGACCAGGAGACAGAGCAGGAGGAGGAGGAGAGGGGAGAAGAGGGAGAGAGCAGAGAGACCCGAGGAAGGAGGTTGAAGGAAAGACAGCGGAGAAGGATAGAGCAGAAGGAGGAGGAGGAGGAGGAGGAGGAGGAAGAAGGGGGAAGGAGGAGCCAGCAAGGCGAGGAGGGCGGGGGGAAGGAGGGCAGGGCCAGCGGGGAGGGGGGAAGGGAGGGGAAGGAAGGGCGGATGGGAGGAAAGCGGGCCGGAGGAGGGGGGAAGCGAGAGGGGGAGGCGGGAATCGTGAGGGGGAAGGGAGGGGAGAGAGGAAGAGAGGGGGAGGGAGCAGGCGGGATAAGCTAGGGGGGAAGTTGGAGGGGAAAGGGGGGCGGGGCGGTAGAGGAGCAGAGCATTCGCCACCTCTTGGCAGGTCCACGAGGAGAGCGAGGGGCGGGATCTGTCGATCAGCAGCCACAGCAAGCTCCTTGCGCTCAGCGCCGTGCAGGCCTACGCCAGCATCGCCGAACCAGAGCTGGTGCGCCCAGGGATCACAAGAGGGATCGCAGGAGCGTCACCCTCTTTCTCGTCCTCCTGCTTATGCTCGTGATCGCGGTTATGCCCTACCCCTGCTCCTCCCAATCCTCCTCCTTCTCCTCCTCCTCCTCCTCCTCCTCCTCCTCTTCCCCCTCCCCCTCCTACCTCCTCCTCCTCCTCCTCCTCCTCCTCCTCCTCCTCCTCCTCCTCCTCCTCCTCCTCCTCCTCCTCCTCCTCCGCTCTCACTGACCCCGTGGCGGCCCGCAGCGTCTCTTCTCACATTATCATGCCTACTGAATGTTCCTGCTGGTGCACTCCTCTCCTCCTCCTTCTCCTCCTCCTTCGCCTCTTCATCCTCGTCCTCCTCATCCTCCATTCACCTCCTCCTCCTCCTCCTCCTCCATCCTCCTCCTCCTCCTCCTCCTCCTCCTCCTTTTCCTCCTCCTCCTTCACCTCCTCCTCCCTCCTCCTCCTCCTCCTCCTCCTCCTCCTCCTCCTCCTCCTCCTCCTCCCCCTCCTCCTCCTCTCCTCCTCCTCCTCCTCCTCCTCCACCTCCTCCTCCTCCTCCTCCTCCTCCTCCTCCTCCTCTCCTCCTCCTCCTCCTCCTCCTCCTCCTCCTCCTCCCCCTCTTACTATTATTATTTCTGCTACTACTACTACTGAAGGACACGCCTCTGCGAAAAGGGCGACTCCCGAGCGCCAGCGGCAGTTCGCGCAGCAGCCACGCACTGGAACCGGTGTGCCGTCCAGGTACGTTCCTGACTGACTGACAGCGCGCCCAGGGTGGAATGGAGAGGGGGCGGGGCTTCTCAGAAACCCTCGCGCCTTCTGAGAAGTCTCCGAAGCCTTCTCCGAAGGCAGAGACGGCGTCTCAGAAGTCGCGAGAGTTTCTGAGAAGCCCCGCCGCCTTCCGAAAAGGCCTGCCCCCTCTCGCTTCCCCCCCGGACTCGCCGCCGAGACTGACTCATCTCGAGCCGCGGTCGGCCACAGAGCCGCTCTGGCTCAAGGCCTTGCGAGTCCGAGGCCCCCCAGGTGCTTATACTTTGCCATCTATCTGAACGCGCTGCCCGCGCACCCCCTGACACCCCCCACGGGGCTTGCTTGCTGCCCTGGCAGGCTCGCTGGCCTGCCCGCCGGGGCCGCTGCGGGAGGAGGAAGAGAAAGAGGAGGATCGAGGAGGGGGAGAAGTAGGAGGATGAGGATCCAGCGCCATCAGCGACAGCGACAGCAGGAGGAGGAGGAGGAGAAGCAGGAACGGGAAGAGGCGGAGGACGGAGGAGGAGGAGAAAGAAGGAGGAGAGTGGTCAGAGTAAGTTCAAAATGCGTCAGCGAGGCTGCAATACACCTTCCCGTCCCAAATCCCTTCTTTGCCATGTGTTTCCTCTCCTTCTCCTCTCTTCGATGTGTCTGAAGCGAGACAGGGTAGTGTAGTCAGTACCCCTCCGCACCCCTCTAGGCTTCAGGCGTCCAACTCGGACGGCCCACGGATTCAGGCCTCGGGTTTGGTGCGTGATCGTGTATATATATATATACACAAACACACATATTTTACGTTCTCTTCCAATGTCCGCTTTAGCCCCCAGCAATGGTAGCCCGAGCGTGGCAAAATAGTGAGGGCGAGGGAGGCAATTGACAGCGTGGTACCGAGCCGACGGGAAGATAGTTTTTGGGATTTGAACGGGTGGATGTTGGTACACACGTCGACGACGACGTGCGTGAGAGAGAGAGAGAGAGACCACAAAGTCTGGACGAAAGGACGCTGGCACGCAGGCAAATCAAGATGAGTACGACGATCGTGGGCCCAGGAAAACGCAGTGGCACACTAGCAGATGGTTATCCTGGACGAACAGGTGGAAAATCACGGTCATGCACTGCGGATGAGAAGGCCGACGACAGCTGATAGCATCGTTCGTGTTTCGTGGAACGGGTCTTGGAAACCAGTTGGTGTGTAGAGATCCAGGGACTACTACCAGCCCCCAGTCTTCCACGGTCTTCAGAGGCTTGAGCGCTACAAAGCCAATATCATGCCATGGGCCCAGCGAGCCGGCTTCAGAGCCAACACCCAGGCCAGCGTAGGGTTGGAATCTTTGCCGGCCGAGCTCCAGTCCAAGGTCAGATGTCTGAGACACCTCGAGCTTCTGAGCGGACAGCGCCAAGGAGACCATATATAGTTCGATTCCAGGGTCACGCACAAAGAACGCTCGACAGACTTCGTAGTGCGGCGCGGCAGTCTGATAGATTTAGGCCTCGAGGTTCGGTTTGTGGCTCCCACACGAGGTCTTGGCAAGATAGCTCCATGATAGATGGCCAAGACAGGATATATTTGAAGACGTTGGTCGGAAGTCGCCAGGACCTGGAGTCCGTGCGCCATGCCCTACTGAAGACAACTCAGAGCCCGACTTCGACTTCTACGATGTTCAGTTCGAGAACGACTAAGCGACGGGTCTGCTGCTGGCCCTAGAAGACCAAGATATTGATGAGCAGGCTGCTTACCAAGTGTTCGCCGAGATTGCAGAGCCTCGTCGGCAGGTCATCAGGCTCGGCCCCCCCATCCGCCCATGGCTGGTCACCGTAAGATCTCGAAGCAGGACTTGAAGCATCGATCACGGCGCGCCAACAGCGAGGCTGCAGAAGAATGTCATGTCCCCCTATCGGTCCCAGCATTCATCCTTTTACTTTCCAATGCGCATGTCGCCGTCGACTTCCAAGATTGCAGAGTCGGTTGGTTTCCCCGCGAATGAGCTCCAAGCCCAGAGCCTTTCGACCCTTCTCTCTCGGTGCAGGGGCGGCCCTCCGCCTTCTGGAGCCGGATAGCAGTTCGACGGAGTCTGGGAGTCGACCGCAGGCTGCGAGGTCAGCCCAGACGAGGTGATAAAGCTTTCAGGAAGAGAATATCATCGCTTGGATGTGACCCAGAGGGCCACCTGGATACTTGATTTCGCTCTTCGGCAGAGAGGCCCCTCACTTCCCACGAATCGCCCCCCTGGGACGCGAGCCAAATGCGGGTTAGGAAGGGCAGTAGGGACGCAGCGCGGGCCCCCAGATCTCCCGCGGGTCTTGCCTGGACCTTGCGACGGACGCGCCGTGGGCACCGGCGTGAGTGGAAGGGTTGGCTTGGGGCCTAGATACCCCTGGGGAAAATGCCCCCCCCCCCCCCCCCCCCTCGGCTTCCCCGGCCACGGAGGACGAGCTCGCCCAGGCGGCTCTCGCCCCATCACCCCCACAACCGAGGCCCGTGGCGATGCTCGCCCGAGGCGCCGACCCCATCAAGGAGGCCCCGAAGGCGCCCGCGGCGCCCAGGGCGGCCCGACAGGCGGCGGCGCAGGCGCTGTTTGGTCGGGGAGACAGCGCAGCAAGGGCCACCGAGAGGCCATCGCCGATTTTCGCGAGACCAAGGCCCGTTCTGCTCGAGTGCCCATCGCCCCCGCGGGGCGCCCCAGGAGCTGGATCGGCCCGGCTACCCCGCGCCGCGGGCGGCTGACACCGGGGAAGGCTGCGACCTGAGAAGGGGGGGGGAGAAGGGGGGGGGGGGGGGGGGCTGCCCTGCAGGACGTGCCCCAGGCGGTCGCCAGGACCCCTTGCGCCGGGACATCAGCATCGGTCAACGGGCCAGCTGGGAGCACATGGGCGCGGACCTCAGGGACTCACCCAAAGCCGCGGGTCTTCTGCGCACGGGGTCGCGCGCCATGGTGGCCCAGCATCAGATGGGTCAGAGGCGCCGCCGTGGCCTGCAACGGCCCGGCACTGCTAGTTCCGGGGAGTTCGCCCGTTAAGGGGGGGGAATTCCACCGCGCTGGGGCGCGCGCGCGGTCGACGCAAAACAGCGCAAGTTCGGTTCATCCGCAGGCCTTCCGGGGGATCTCAACGAGAAGCCCATGCGTTTCGTGGGCAGTAGTACGGTTATCCTGACGCGATGCGGCAAGGGGCGCGACGGCCCCCATTCCCGCGCCCCCCTCGTCGGCAGCGCGAGGACCCCTGCAGCCCAGACGCACCCGCCCGCGCTCGTCCGCGCTCGGAGCCGGGGCGCGGGGGCTGAGGCGCTCGGCAGGCTTGCGGCTTCCCATCGGAACGCCGCCCCCCGCCCCGCGGTTTTGCCCGAGGCCAGCGAGGCAGTTGGCCCAGACGCCATCGAGATCGATTCGGGCGACGAAGTCGGAGAAGTCAGGCCAGTGGCCGAGGTGGCCAGCGGGAAAATTGAGCAAATGATCAGATAGATAGAGAGCATCAGAACGAAGCCAAGTCACCCCAAGAGAGATGACTTCGCTAGAGCTTTGAAATGCCAGGGGCGACGCCATTCGCTGGGCCACCGGTCACTTTGTCGACCCAGCATTCGCTGCAGAAGGCAACCACGGGCGGCGCAAACACGCCCAGTTGACGCGCACGCTTCGTATGAACAAGCTGGTTGCGGTAGATGCGTTGCCATCCCCGCGATGGATCAAAATTTGCCTGTCTTCGGCGCGAGCGACCACGGGTCGAATTTTCGGACGCGCGCTCTCTTGTCGGCCGCGACGGCCGAGCAGACCTGGACGGGGTTCGCGCGCGCTCGGCCCCGACTTCTTGATCCGACGGAGGTAGTGAGTTCTCAGAGTCGTTTGCTGGGGGTCGGAGGATAGCCGGGCGCCCCATGGCGCGCGACGGCGAGAGCCCCCATCAAAACGGCCGGCGCGACGGCCACGACAGGCATGGCCAAATTAGTTTTAGGGGGGCAGCGCCAGCCGCACTTCCCACGGCGAGGAAGTCGAGGGAAATCTCGCGGAGACGATCAGCACCAAGCACTGGCATGCGCACCGCGGTGGCATCTCACATCACGAGTTGGTTTTCGGCCCCCTGCCCGTCTTGACCGACGACGCCGTCGACGCGGTCGGGGGCCAGGACGCGGTCCCAGGGACCCGCGACGCGGACTCTCCCGCGGCCGCGTTTGCCCGAATGCACGCCCTTGCAGAGGAGGCCCGAAAGGCGGCGCCAACCACGGTCGCGAAAGAGCGAATCCGTCTCGCGCCC